GACAATGGGCCACCTCTGTCCTATTTACAAAGACAATGGGCCACCTCTGTTCTATTTACAAAGACAATGGGCCACCCCTGTCCTATTTACAAAGACATTGGGCCACCGCTGCCTTTTTACGAAGACAATGGACCGCCGCTGTCCTATTTACAAAGACAATGGGCTGTGGCACACCCGTAGCCAGGCAACGAACACCATACGAAACTTACGAGAAAAAAAACTCAGATGCATCGGAAACTCATGCAAACAGTGCAGACACATATGCAACAGGACACCGTGCAGCCCTAGAATTTAGGTTTTTGACCCAGCGTGCAATACCTTTGAAGTACGGGAGATCGTAGTTGTAGCCAGTGCACAAAATCACGACATCAACGCCCGAGAACTGAGTGCCGTCGGATGTAACCAGTGCACCTACAGATGGGTGATAGTAGAAGAGCCTGCTAAGCCTGTGTTTATACCAGACAAACCCTACCACTATATATTGACTCACGGTGCAACGCTACCTACAGATGGGTGATAGTATAAGAGTCGACTAAGCCTGGGTTTATACCAGAAAAACCCTACCACTGTATATCGACTCACGGTGCAACGCTACCTACAGATGGGTGATAGTATAAGAGTCTACTAAGCCTGTGTTTATACTAGACAAACCCTACCATTGTATATCGACTCACGGTGCAGCGCTACCTACAGATGGGTGATAGTATAAGAGACTACGAATCCTGGGTTTATACCAGACAAAACCTTCCACTGTATATCGACTCACAGTGGAACGCTACCTACAGATGGGTGATAGTATAAGAGTCTACCACGCCTGGGTTTATACCAAATACCACTATATATAGGTTCACGGTGCAACGCTACCTACAGATAGGTGATAGTATAAGAATCTACTAAGCCTGGGTATATACCAGACAAACCCTACCACTATATATTGTCTCAGGTGCAATGTCTATCTACCAGACAGGTGCACGTGTCACGATGACAATAAAAGACATATTTATGATATACAACACCACGCACCAAAGCGATGCAGTTAAGTCGGACAGTGGAGACACCACCGCCTGAGAAACTATGAGTCATCGCATGCACTGATGACGCAGCCATTGTCAGTTCTAGGGTTTTGGCTAAACGGGATGTTATGACAAGCAATGACCACCGCTGCGCTCGACTGAGCAATGCACTGCGATGGCTTGTGATGTGCTGCCCACCCAACGCCATGGGCGAAACTCACTGTGCACGTACAAGACTTAGCATGGAACGTATCACACTTTCACTGGTAGTAGAACTAATCCCAAAACCCTTAACCCTACAACTAATCCTGCTGGTTCAATTATAGAACATCAACTTACCCACAAATCACAGACACAGAACAATCAATGGGAGGCTACTACCTCCACCACACGACCCACATAACACAACACACGGTCACATAACACAACACATTACATACCCTGCTCACTCACACCACACAACCGCCCATAGACAGTGCAGTTGGCCAGTTGTCGCAGATAGCTGTCAGCTGGTACATTGGCGCACAGGTACACATGCGTAGCTGTGGAGGCTAGGTCGCGTGCGATGTCTCTGCCACTGGGGCCTCCTCCCACCACAGCGATGGTCTGTGTGGGTAGTACGTTAGAAGTGTGTGGGTAGTACGTTAGAAGTGTGTGAGTAGTGCGTTAAAAGTGCTGAGTTCACCGGCGTGTGTGTAGGATATAGCGTAATGTGTCGTAATTGGGTGTTGTGTGGTGTTGCGTTGTGTTGTGTTGTGTTGTGTTGTGTTGTGTTGTG